TAACCGTTAAAGAAATGATTAATTTACAATTAGCGTCTGCAAGTAATCGAAATTATAAACAACTTGACTATAATATTTTGCTCTTCGCTGTCACTTCATTGGCATTCAATTAACAAACAGGAAGTTGCACATGATGGGCTCTTTATTTTATTAATTATACAACAGGTTTTATTGCTTTCTTAGATGAAGTTATCTTCTTGCCTCAAAACTCTTGCTCGTTTTATTGCCTAAAAATCATTTTTCCCTTAAGGTTGCCTTGAATCCTTTTGTCATTGCCTAAACTTGTTTTTCCATTGAGATGGCTTTTGCATCTCTTCTTTCGCTTACTCAAGTACTTGAGCAGATCCTGCATCCTCATGATCGATCTCTATCCCTTCATCAAACAGATCAACAGACCATAAGATCTCTCCATGAAAAGTTTAGCCTTTTGCTATCATTTCTGGAAGATTCTTCATATAAAAATAGTGAAACAATTAGAAGTTTGGAAGAAAGAATTAGAGATGTGACATATGAAGCCGAAGTTATAATTGAAACCCAAATGTTGAATCAGATTCTCTTACAATCTGGATGTCGTGAAGACATAACTGAATTCAATATGTCGAATCAGATCGTATGGAAATGGGAGCAGAAACATGAAGGCTTGCAAAAGGTACTAGAAGAACTCCATTCCGTTTCCGAAGAGATGAAGAAGATGAAGGACGGGAACGACATAAAAGATCTGCCACCTAGGAACTCTTTACCTGCTGGTTCTTCACAAGATAGTTCCAGTAACAAGAGTTCTATGGTGGGATATAATGACTACTTGATGGAAATTATGGAACGGTTGACTCAGCCACCTCTTAAACGAGAAATCATCCCAATTGTTGGGATGGGTGGCATTGGCAAGACTACACTAGCAAGAAATGTTTATGATGACTTGCGTATTGTCGATTACTTCGACACTCGTGCCTGGATAACGGTATCTCAAGGATATCAAGTGATAGATATGATCACAGGCCTCCTAAAATCCATAAAGCATGCCGCTCATGAATTATATCAAGAGGACATTGGAAAATTATACCAACTCCTGCACAAAAGTTTGAAGGGCAATAGATATCTCATCGTAATGGACGATGTGTGGGATATCAAGGCCTGGGAGGACGTCAAAAGAGTCTTTCCAGATGACGATAATGGAAGCCGAATAATTTTCACTACCCGGCAATCGATTGTGGCACGTCAAGTCCAGTCCTCTGGCCATATTCAGCATCTGAAAGGTCTAGATGTCCAAGAAAGTTGGATTCTGCTGCGCGAGAAGGCTTTTGGTAAAGAAAATTGTCCTCCTCAACTCGAGAAAATTGGAACCGAGATTGCAAAGAACTGCAAGGGACTCCCACTTTCTCTTGTTGTGATTGGTGGTCTCCTCTACAAAGCCGAGAGAACAGAAGATTACTGGAATTATGTTTCAGAAAATTTATACTCTGCAGTAAGTAAAGCTTCTCATCATGAGTATTTGGAGATATTATCTTTGAGTTATAACCACTTGCCTCATTATTCGAGAGCATGTTTTCTTTATATGAGTGTTCTCCCTGAAGATTATGTGATCCGTAAATCCAAACTCACCAAGTTATGGGTTGCGAATGGATTTATAAAGCCAGATAAATCGAAAAGCTTGGAAGAGTTGGCAGAGGAGTATCTAAAAGATCTTACTGATAGAAATCTGATTATGGTTCACGAGAGGGTTTATAGTGATGAAATCAAAAGCTGCAGCATCCATGACCTCCTGAGAGAACTCTGCGTTATTAAAGCTAAGGAGGAGAAGTTTCTACAAGTTTTGAAGTTGGAAAATGATCATTTTCCAGAAGTCACAGATAATCTGCATCACGTAAGTATTCATACAAATTTCAAGGATCAAAGCACAAGATTTTCCCTTGCTCAAGATTGTGACTCGCCCATCCGTTCTGTTATATTCTTTTGTCGAAATAACCCAAATCATCTATCACTGCACTTCATCACAAGTTTTCGGTTGCTGAAGGTATTGGATGCACTCACTATAAGGTTTGATGAGTTCCCAATTGAAATAGTCGAACTATTCAATTTGAGGTATATTGCTTTGACCTACTGGATAAAACACAGCTTTCCTGCATCAATATCCAAACTTTTCAATCTTGAGACTCTAATTGTTAATCCAGGGAAATTTAAAGAAGTCTTTAATACATCGTTCTTACCACTGGAAATCTGGAAAATGCCAAGATTAAGGCATTTGTTGTTTGTCCGAGCTTTCTTTCCTTATCCTACTGATGCATTAAACGGGGGAAATTTTGTTCCCTTGCAAAACCTACAAACACTTAGCAACGTGATAAATTTCAGATGGACAAAGGAGGTCCTTCAAATGCTGCCCAACCTAAAGAAATTGGTCATTTCGTACGAGCATGATGGGCGAACTGAGTGGTCATCCTACTGTTTTGACAATTTTATCTATCTGCATCGACTTGAAGTTTTGAAATGCTACTTCTTTGCCAAGTCTTATTTAAAATATCAGGATCCTCTACCAGTGAACTTCGCTTTCCCACCACAACTCAAGAAGTTAACTTTGAGTGGCTGCAGAATATCTTGGGAAAGTATGACAATTATTGGTTCGCTTCCCAAACTTGAAGTTCTCAAACTGAAAGACCATGCCTTCGAAGGCCCTGTGTGGGAACCAATTGAAGGGGAATTTAGCCAATTGAAATTTCTACTTCTAGAGGAGACTGATCTGGAGCAATGGAATGCCGATAAACCACACTTTCCAATCCTGAAACGCCTACATCTTAGGTACTGCTACAACCTGTTGGAGATCCCTTCTGGATTTGAAAATATTCCAACTTTTCAAGCAATCGAGTTGTGCGAATGTTCATCGTCAGTTGTGGCTTCAGCAAAGTCCATACAGGAAATGCAAAAGGACTGTGGGAACGAAAAATTTCAGGTTCGCGTCTTTCCTCTGGGGTTATGTCGTGCGCAGACTAGTAGTATTCCAATTGCATTCAAATTTATAGGTAATTTATAAATTCAACAAAATTAAAACATCAACTTCAACCACAGGTTCCTAACTGTTACTATTATTATCTACATAGTTCATGGAATTCACTATTATTCATCTTAATATTCATCTTTATAAATATGCCAAATGGAGGTTTAATATTTTTATGCTAATTTAGTAATGTTGGTGATGTTCCGAACTCCACAAACAGGTAGTGGTGAAAGACGAGGAGAGCAATGTTTGAAGCTATCAAAAGGGAAATGAGAAAAGTATAGTTTCAAGGTAATACCAAAAGAGTTATATTGTACCCCCCGCCC